CCTGTGCCTATTCCATACCCTGTGCTCCACCTTCCTCTCCCTCCCCTTCACCCCACCATCTGTAACCTGGTAACCAACAACAAAAAAGATAATAATAACAAAGATAAAATTTAAAAAAGAAGATAATTTTTTCCCCTTTTTAGTGTGGGTGCTTTTTCTTAGTCTTTTACAATAATGGCTCTGTGCCATATTTCTCCTTTGTGACTGACTGATTTCACTCAGCATAATGTCCTCATGGTTCATCCATGTTATGCGGTGGCTTGCTGCTTCCTTGTTCTTCAGGGTAGCATAATATTCCATTGTGTGTGTGTACCACAGTTTGTTTACCCATTCTTCAGTTGATGGGCACTTGGGCTGTCTCCATCTTTTTGCTATTGTAAATAGTACTGCTGTGAACATTGCAGTGCATACATACATCTACTCACGTTACGGCTCGTGTTTCTTGTGGATAAATACCAAGTAGAGGAATTGCTAGATCATAAGGTATCTGTGTTTCCAACCTTCTGAGGAAGCACCAGATTGTTTTCCAGAGTGGTTGGACCATTTTGCATTCCCGCCAGGAATGTAGGAGGGTCCTAGTCTTACCACATCCTCGCCAGCACTTATTGTCCTCTACTTTTTTAATCTTTGCTATTATTGCTGGTGTGAGATGATATCTAGAAGTTGGTAGAATTCTTGTTCCCATGTCACATGCCCACCTAAATAACTCCCAGTGTACGTAACACATAGGAAGTGGATGTGCAAGTATGCTTGGTTTGCAAAAACCTCATAATGTGCACATTATTTGTGTAAAAATACAAGCAAACAGGTTAAAAATGGAACTAGGGTGGCGTTTACCAGAGGTTAACAGTGGGGAAACTGGGTACTGAGTGCTCAGACTCTCTGCTGCTTCTTCGGGCTGCATGAGAATCTACAGTTATCTAATGCCCTTTAAAAGGTTTTATCATTTTGTTCATCTTTGACATCTTGCAGGATTTATTCCTATTACTTTTCTCTTTTTTTGTTATTATTAAAAATAGTTATTTTTATAAATTCTTTTTCCTGAGTATTGATCATGTATAGGGATGTGGTTGGGAGCTTGGTGTTGACTCTAGAGGATAAGCACTAGATTGCAAACCACAAGCTCAGCGGTTTGAGCCCACCAGGAGAAAGATGGGGCTTTCTGGTTCAAGAAGGATTTACAGCCTTGGAAACCCAATATAGGGTTCCTATGAGTCAGAACTAGCTCCACGGCATATCACCACCACCGCCATGTATGAAATCTGGAGGGTTTCTCATAGTGAGAGCATGCTAACATGATTGGCTGTGGACATTCAGTCAGAGTCAAACAGTTGCTTAAAAGAATCACAACTTACCCTGAAACAAAGACCCAGCAAAGCCCGGCCCTGCTCCCACACAGAGAGCCCACTTGGTAATGCCCTGAGCACCTCCTGACCACCCCGCTCACCACCGGCCAGCCACAGTCCACACGAGCATCGTGCCTGGAAAGCAGTCCCACAAAACTGTGGGTCCTGAGCCCAGGTCGGTGGGTGGCTCCAGCCAGGTCTGTGACCACCCGAGTACAGAGCCCTTCCAGCTCTCAGCCGGGTCGGGCCCCATCTCGGTGGATTCATAGACATTGGCAGGACTGCTGTGAATTGTTCTCGCAACTGAGTGGCTGGGTTTTCATCTCCCTGAAAAGCTGCCTTGGCGAGGCACACACCAGTGCTTTCTCTATGAGACCTGTGAGCACAGCAGAGCCGGGGCCAAGGAAAACTTTGGAGAGGGACTTAGCATCTTAACTCATCATGTTCTTGGAGCCTTTAAGTTGAGCTGCTTGCTAGAGGATTTTAAAACACTGACCTACTCCACTCTCCCCAAACTTTGCTATACTAACTGTACTCTCTGGACAGAGCGGCCTTAGACATCTTCGACTACATCTATATCGATGCTTTCGGGAAAGGCAAGCAGCTCACAGTGAAAGAATGTGAATACCTGATCGGGCAGCACGTAACAGCCGCCCTCTACGGAGTGGTCAACGTCAAAAAGGTGCTGCAGCGAATGGTGGGAAACTTGCTGAGCCTGGGAAAGCGGTGAGCATACTTGGATTCCAGCGCTTCTGCAGAGGGGGCGAGTTAGAGGCTTGTGGGTCTCACAGACGGTTACTTCATAAGCTGCCCTGTATAGCACAGCTGGAACGTCTCCAGCAGTCAGAAACTAGTTGTATTTGGAGTTGTGACATACTAAGTGACTTTTGTTTGAGATCTTTGCAGAACTGGCAGGTTCTCAAATACCCCAAACATTATTCACTAACTAGAATCTCTCAGACTAGCCAAGATGCATTTCTGGATGCGGGCTGTCCTCAGGCCCAGCTCTAGGTTATCTTTTAATGCATACCTTTTGTCACTGAGAGAAAACCAGATAAGACTGTGAAAACGTCTTACTTCTGATTCCAAGGGAATTTGTCCTAAAGGGGAACTCGTAGAAGGAGTTACAGTTTGGCCATTTGCATGGCTTTTTAATTATACACAGGTGATACTGAGGTGACTGCGTAATGAAAAAAACAAAGTCGGGGGAACAAGATTTGTGTTTATTTTTTTTTTATTTAGTTCCTAAACCGTTTAAGAGGAAGCTTCCAAATCATATCTTTTGGTATCCATATCAATTACTTGAAGAGTCTTGGCTATAAAACAAACAGGCTAAGACTGATTCCTCCCGTCCTGCCAGGGAAGGCATCGATCAATCGTACCAGCTCCTGAGGGACTCGCTGGATCTCTACCTGGCAATGTACCCGGACCAGGTGCAGCTTCTCCTCCTCCAAGCCAGGCTTTACTTCCACCTGGGGATCTGGCCAGAAAAGGTAATTATCTTACTTTGCTTCTGGGCCCTTGCCTTAGAGAGGGAAATTGTAGATTGATGCCAAACTGTAAGGCAGCTCTCCCCACCCAGCCAGCCCCTGTGTTAACATGAGGAGCAAGCACAAGGGTTTTCAAGTCTCCGGTTCATGACCCATTAATTGCACCTTTTTTTGTCTCTGTGAACCCTAATGAAAATTGTTTACACGGCCAGGAACTGTCTGTTCTCATTATGCTCGGCCCCTTGAACACCCAGGACCAGGCAGCCGGGGGTGTGCCTCATGCCCTGATGATGCATTTGCCCCAGGTCGCCCCACTCAGCCCAAAGAAGCCGAGTTTAACGTGTTCAACACACAACCGTCCTGACAGCTGCCGCACTGACCAGACAGTGTCTGCTGAGGGAGAGGGCTGCTAGATGTATGGAGCCCCCCACTGCAGGACTAGTGAGGACTGCTGGAGTCTGGAGACCACTGAATGTTAATCCTGTCTGTCTCCCTTGCAAATTCTGACTGGTAGAGTGGCCCCGCTGGGCAGCAGCAAGCACTTCAGGAAGGCCCACACTCACAAATGCTCATTGGGTGCTGCTGTGCAGAGCCAGCTGTGGATCATTGTGATTGTTGCAAACTGAGCTCTCAGGACCATGGGATTCGAGGGGGGCACTAGAATGGAAATAGGCTAAATGACCCCACGTGGCTTGGATGTATGTAAATTGCCTCATGACCTAACAGTTCCGAGACAGGAAGCATCCATGGGAGAACCCCTAGATTCCCGTCTAAAGAAGAGATGTAACACCACCTAGAAAGCAGACGTTTCCCCAGAGCATTCTTGTGTTGGTGGAAATCACTGGACTAGATGCTCTGCCTAGAGCCCCCTACAACCCAGGGATTTATAGTGCATTCTCCGGGTTCCATTCTGTTTATGATTTCTGGTTGAGACCCAGACACATACCACCCATGTCTCTCACCTTGTACTTTTGTAGATTAAGACTTGCGTGATCGTTTGTGAAGTGCAGAGGGAGACGTTAACTCACTCTGCCCTGGTGTCATGCTCGTAGTTCAGTTTCCAGAGCCCACCTGCTCCCCTTCACTGTGGTACAGTGAGTGAAAACGGCTGTTTATGAACAAAGTCCCTTGTGGTCCTGTCCTCCTTTCTCTTTGCTTACATGGACAAGGTGCCTCTTCCCAAGACACACCTCCCTCACTCCTGTGTTCTGAATCCTAACCCTCTTCTTGCCTTTTGTTGTTGCTGGTTATGTGCCGTCGACCCTGTACAGAGTTCCCGAGGCTGTAAATACTTACGGGAGCAGAACGCCTCATCTTTCTCCCGCGGAGCAGCTGGTAATTAATTTCAAACTTGTGACCTTAAAGTTTGCAGCCCGATTCGTAACCACTACGCTACCAGAGCTCCTTGCCTTTTAGTCACCCACAAAAGTTTCCGCTTTCTGCTTCTGTTTTCTTAGGTCCAGCATGAACCCTACTCAAGTCTCTCCATCTTTGGTAAAAGGAAAACAGTGAAACTCCCCCAATTCCTCTCCCAGCTCCTCCTTGTCTTTCTTCTCCCCCCACCCCCACCCCCAGAGGAATTCTTACAAGTTGTCCATGCGTGAGGACTGCCTTGACCTGCCCACCACGCACTCACACCTCAGGACACCGATCGGTTCCCACCCCACCTCCACCAGGCTTCTTGCCAAGGACATCAGTGACCCTTGGAGAAAAAGTGATTCTCCTTGCTACTAAATCCAGTAGTTGGTTTCTGTCCTTATCCTACCTGACCAGGTGGGCCACTCCTTCCATAAAGCACTGTCCACCTGCCTGAGGTTCTGGTGGCCACATGCTGGCGCCCTGTCTGCGGCTGTAGGCCTAGGACTGTTCATGGTTTCTTTTTCTTCGCCACTTCTCCCTGGACAGTCTTTTCTCTGCTCCTTACTTCCATTACCATATGAAGCTGATGGTTCTCAAACCTTTGTTCTCCTGCCCAGGCCCTGGGCTCAAGCCTCCACACCTGCACGTGGTCTGCCCGCCCCCAGGCTGCTGAGAGGCAGCACTCCTTAGCCTGGGTGATGGTGTTCACCTCCTGCCCGGTCTGCCCTCCCCACTTCTGCTTGGCTAGAGCCTTGTCTGTCTCGTTTTTGGAAAGGTTTTCTAGCTATGTGTAGCCATCCTTCTCCACAAGACACATGTCCCTTTAGGACAGGGGCACGTCTGTTTTGTTCTTTCTTGGGACTGTTCCCTTTCTCTTAGCACAATTCCTGACACACAGTAGGTGCTCAAAAAATTTTTTATTTTTTGGAATGTTTGACCAAGAAATGAGCACTTTGATTGGGAGGAATGGGGCCCTGCTCAGGCTCTCCAGGTTCTCCCACATGGGAGGGAGTGTGTGCAGATGAGGACTGTATCAGGAGGAGGAAAGAAGGCTCCAGCTGGGCCCTGCTAAATCTGGTGTGGCCTGAAGCACCCCCTACAGCTGTCCCAGAGCATTTGGCAGTCCCCAACATCAAATCTGGTAGCTGATTCCCCAGAAGTAGAAGAAAATCAAACCCAGCGCACTGCTATTGAATCTGTTCTGACTCAGTGACCCTCAGTGACCCTAGAGGACAGGGTAGAAGTGCCCACAGGGTTTCTGAGGCTGTAAATTTTTATGGGAGCAGATGGCCACATTTTCTTCAACAGAACAGCTGGTGGGTTTGAACTGCTGACCTTGAGGTTAACAACTCACCACATAGCCCACAGTGCCACCAGGGCCCCATAAAAGTAGAAAGGCAGCTTTAAATGTATCTGAGCCTCAGGAGAGTCCTGAGGTTAGGCCAGAGCAGGGGCCAGCCAACTGTGACCTGGTCAAAGGTACCTGCTTCGTATGGGTGTTTTCGTGGAAGACTTCTGTGTCCCTCTGCTTACTTAGTTCCTGCGACGCCTCTGACCACCCATAGCACAGTGCAGTAGTTTAGTTAGAGGTTGTATGGCCCTAGCGCTGAGAGTAATTCCTCCATTGGTCATTACAAGGAGCTCTGGTAGAGTAGTGGTTACGAATCGGGTTGCAGGCCTCAAGGTTGGCAGTTTGAAGCTGCCAGCCGTTCCGCAGAAGGAAGATGAGGCTTTCTGTTCCCGTCCAGATTTACAGCCTCAGACACCTTGTACAGGCATGCTATGAGTCAGAACCGACTCCACAGCACATAACAATAGCAACAAGTTATTCAACACAGGTAGATTTGCTGACCCCAGGGCGGGTTTCTTGGCTTGTTCTAGGAAGGCTGCCCTCTGTTCTAGGTCTAGAGCATTGGCTGGAGGCACCTGTTGTCTCCCCCTCCCCTATCTCCTGTGTCTGTCCTCACCCTTCCTGCCCAACCATACATCCAGGGGAGGCAGTGGGCTTCTCCCTGAACCTCATCTGCTCCTTTGATGCTTTGAACTCAAAACTTTATTTGTGCTTTTTTAGACTAAATTGTATCTTTTGGCCTATCTGGCTCAGGTGCTGGAAACAGAAAGGAATCGGCATAGGTGATAGCGAAGGCTAGGGAGTGGTCCGAGCTCATTTAGGAGCACAGGAAAGCCTGCTGTTCAAGGAGGAGGTTTGAGCTATGTAAGATGCATACTAGTATCTGCCAGGTGAAAAGTGCACCACGGGACGGCCAGGGAACCAGCTGCTCTGTTGTCCATGATGCTGTTTCTTAGCACTGCTGAGCAGAAGTTGGTGTTCTCAGGGTAGACCACTCTCAGAGCCCCTCTGCTCAGTGCTCTGAGTGTGGTGTTGTCAGGCACCAGGGAATTGCTTCTGACGCTTAGTGACCTCTGTGCCGGCATAGAACTGACCCCAGATGTTTTCTCGGCTGTGGTCTGTAGGCTTCAAATCACCAACCTTTCTGTTAGCAGGTGAACACTTAACCTCTACAGCATCAGGGCTCCTCACAGGGGCTGAATAAATCACGTGCCTTTATTTGGGGGAATGCTTTTGTGTAGACAGCACATCCAGTAGGAACCACCTCACAGTGCAGTCAGACTGGTCCCCGACCAGCCAATAGCCTCAGTTCCAGCGGCCGCGGTCTCTCCCCTACGTTCCCCACTGCGCTGCGCCCTTCTCTCCCACATAGCCAGCAGCTGCCGCTGCACTTCACAGAAACACCTCAGCTGGCCTTCCTCCTCCCAGGTCACCAACGGCAGAAGAAAATGGCTCCTTTCCAGTACTTACAATTTTTAAAAAAGATTCCCCCAATTCCAGCACTGACCTGGCCCCCAATGCTAGCAGCTGAAGGGTCCTGTGAGCCTGACTATGTTGCCCAGAGCTGCCAAGCGTGGTTGTGCCCTCTGCCAGATTACGTAGGCCTAAATCCCAGGCCGTGAAAAAGAAAAGGCACCGCTGAAAATATTATCTCCTAGTCTTTCTGTCTTGTCTTGAAGGTGCTTGACATCCTCCAGCACATCCAAACCCTGGACCCCGGGCAGCACGGGGCAGTGGGCTATCTGGTACAGCACACTTTAGAGCACATTGAGCGCAAAAAAGAGGAGGTGGGCGTGGAGGTCAAGCTGCGCTCCGACGAGAAGCACAGAGATGTCTGCTTCTCCATTGGGCTCATTATGAAACATAAGAGGTGAGTGCAACTGCCCCCCATCCCGCAGCTGATGACCCCCCCACAGCAGAATCGCCTCGTGCAGAAACAACGCGTGTGTCTCTACTCGGCTGCTTCCTGCGTGTCCACCATGCAAAACCAGAGCATTCGCCTCTTGGCTTCTGAGAAACAGCTCACCTCCCTGACAGCCAGACCTTCACATATTTTGGGTGCCCTTCAGAGGTGTGCCTCTGGTCTCTGCAGCAAGATGGCAACAGCTCTATTAACAGGGCTCTTCCTCTCTCCTCTGATCGTGAACCCTTGACTCTGCGTTGTGGGTAGGAGGAGACTGCGGTCCTCTCTGTGTGTTCTCTGCCCCTTCCGGTTGAGTTTCCTCTCTTGTGGAGCAGCTCCTCAGACAGTTTACTTATTTTTCTGTTACATTTTGAGTTTCTTCTTCCTTGTTGATGGGTAGTCACTCTGTACTCAGAACACACCAGTCTGTGTCAGTATAAGCTGTCATTGTCTTTTCCCAGTTTGGGCCAGTTTTACTCTTGTCCCCTTTGTCCCTCTCTCTCTAACTTCAATCGGGGGATTTCCACACTTTGTTAAGAGCAGAAGGTGGGGGCTGCCCAGTGTCAGCAGGTACTGTCACAGGTCACAGGGTCCGGCCTTCCCACAGCCCCTGGGACCTAGCCATCAGCCCACACCTCTAAAAGCGGGAAAGGGCTCCTTTTCTTCTGTAATATACTATGCCCTGTTAGTCGGCTAAAAAAACGAAAGTGTCTTTAACATAGTCAGAGATCGACTCAGTCTGTGGTTCCCCAGGTATCTTAACATTTTAAAATAATTTTTAAAACCCACTGCTAGCGCAGAGATTCTGACTCTGACCTCGTCTTCACTTTCTGAGAGGAAATCCTTTAGGGAGCAGACAGCCGCATCTCCTGCAAAGCAGTTGGTAGGTTTGAATTGCGGGCGTGGAGGTTAGTTGCCCATTGCTTAACCACTGTGCTAGCGGAACTCGTTGTATAAGTTTGCTTGAATTAACCAAGTCCATAACTGTTGAGTCAGTTTTGACTCATAGTGACCTGTAGAAAGAGGAGAACTGCCCCATAGGGTTCTACAGTGAGCGTCTTGACTGACCGCTTGGTTAACCACCAAGCTCTTAACAACTGTGCCAGTCAGGGCATCTCTGAGTTTGTCCTTCTGTCTATGTAGGGTAAGCACTGGACTGTGAACACAAGACTGCTGGTTTGAGCCCACCAGCTGCTCTGCTGGAGAAAGATGAGGCTTTCTGCTTCCACAAAGATTTAAAGCCTCAGAAGCCATATTCAGGTTCACTTGAGTCGGAACCGACTCGCCAACACTTAACATCTACATGACTCTAATAGTGGGACTTGGTTTAAAAAAATCTTTCCTTATCTTGGGTCATGAGGCCCTTTTCTATTTTTATAGGTGTGCCTTTTCGATTTTGCAGGTAGGTCTTTGTTCTAGTGAAAATTGGCTTTGGGGTATTGTCAGTAATCCCATGGGGATTACTAGTTCAAGTCCAACCACCATTGTCTGAACGTTCCTTCTTCTCTGACTGCAGTGTGCTGTTGCTAATGAGGGTTTGTAAGGAGGCAGGGAAGTGATCCAGCACAGCGTGAAAGGGAGGCCTGAGCTGTGCAGGTCTTGGCTGCCTCCACAGGGTCCAGGCATTGACTTGTCCTTGCTCTCCTGGTGCCTCAGGTACGGCTATAACTGTGTCATCTATGGCTGGGACCCCACCTGCATGATGGGACACGAGTGGATTCGGAACATGAACGTGCACAGCCTACCTCATGGCCATCACCAGCCTTTCTATAATGTGCTGGTGGAGGACGGCTCCTGTCGGTATGCAGCCCAAGGTAAGGAGCTTACTCCCGGCAGCCAGGCCTCTGTCGGCTACAGCCGAGCTCTCAAGAGTCTGTGGTAAGAAGTCACCGGTTTCCCCACTGCCAGCAGTGTACCAGCCTCATCTCATGTACTCGTGTGGCTATGTAGTTGGATGCCATCAAGTCCAATTTCCACTCAGAGCAGCCCCATGTGGCAGGGGAGAACTGCCCTATCACGATACCTTGGCTGTTGTCTTTGACAGAAGCAGATCACTAGGCCTTTTTCTCCTGCAGCCACTGGCTGGGTTCGAACCATCAACCTTGCAGTTGGCAGTCAAGTGATTAGCAGGATTAAACAGTCACTGCCCACCTCCAGGGCCTCCCCTTTCCACTATCTCCACAGCTTTGACCCCATTCCAGTACTGTTGTCAGCCTGTCATCTGATTGGCCTTTGCCTGTGCCCATCAAATTCTCTTCCGTCCTGCCTCCTAGGCACTGCCCTTGGCTCCTCCTAGTGAAACCTCCCTGCCAGGCTGGACGAAGCCACCTCCCCTCCCTCTGGCTCCTGATGGTGGCCAGCTTGTGCTGCCCAGCGACACCCTCGTGTGGTTACTGTCGGAAACTGCAGCCCACGGCCCTGGTGCTCGGGGCAGAGTCTGTGAGGCAGTTTCACCTAGTGGAGTCCTGGCATTCTCACAGTGTGTTGATATACAGGGGCTTTATTAGTGTGTTTAAACCAACCAAACCCATTACTGTTGAGTTAGTTCCAACTCAGAGTGACCCGTTGTTGTTGGTAGGTGCCGTGGAGTCGGTTCTGACTCATAGCAACCTGTAAAGGATTTCTAAGGGCACTTCATATCAATCAAATACCATGTGCACCAAAGTCGTCTCTTCCAGAGCCCCCTGATGTCCTCTTGTCATCAGTGATGTGAAGCTTGGTCACGTTCTCAAGTAGTGACCCATTGGCAGCTGCAGTTTCCCCTTAGTAATTAACAAGAAACCCGTGGGTGACACTTGTCACCCCAGGAAATCCTGTCCCCAATAGCCCATAGCTTATGCTTTGTTCCCCTAACCAAACCCTCTGCCATTGAGTCATGTCCCATCCACAGACAGGACAGAGTAGAACTTAGGGTTTCCAAGTCTAGATCATTATGGGAACAAAGTGCCTCCACTTTCTCCTGGTGCACTGGAACTGCCAGCCTGTGGTTAGCTGTCCACGACCCATTACATTTCTTTCCATACGTTATTATATAGGGATTGCAAAGTAGTGATGTTTCTGTTGCTATCTGTGTAGTCCTAGTGTGGCTTCATAGGATAAACACAGCACTACAAGGTCGAGTTGAACCAAAGTGTTGATGGTTTAGACTAGGCAAACCATGAAAACCCTATGCAGGATCACTGTGAGTCAGAACCGAGTCAATGGCACTTACCGACAGCAACGTCTGTGGAGCTATAGGCTAAGCCCTGGACTGCGGACCACGAGGTCTGTTCAAACCTACCATCCACTCCTTGGAAACCCAATACAGGATCTCTGTGAGTCAGTCCACTTGATGGCACCTGGAACAGCAACCACATCATTCCCCTCTACCTCCCTCCCTCTGTCTGTCTGTCTTTTCCCATCCCTCCCTCACCTCTTCTCATAGAAGTCTGGAGTTTTCTAAAATAGTCCATGTTTGACCAGTGGGGAACCCACAGAGGCTACTTATTTAACTATGTTTGTGAACACGTCTGGGTTTAGCTTGGTTTTGAACTGTTTCTTAATCTCTATTTCCAATTTTTGGCTCCAGTGATGTTATTAATAACTTCAATGAATCCCATTAGTGAGTGCTTTTCTAATTATTAGCTCCCCAGAGAGAGCTCAAGAGTGAATTACAAGCCACATTCTTGTACAACATCTTCAGACAGCTTTAGTCTGCAAGTTAAGGAAATGGCTTTTTCTTCTCAGTGTGTTAAATTGCTCCCAACTCCTAATGGGCAGATCCAATGTCTATTATACTCTTTGTTCCCACTAGGGGGAGTGCTTAATAGCTCCTTGGCGCCTTGATTGGACTTCCTTCCGTATACTTCTTGGAGACCTGGGAAGATGAATATTATGGGTACTCCGATTAAGTTAGCCACCTGCACTGAAGACTGGGACTAGAATTCTAGTCCAATGTGAATATCTGGTGGTTCTGTATGTACTGTAAATAGTAATGACATTCCTTGTAGCATAGTAGGCACATGACACATGCTCTCTAAATATTAGTTACTTTGTCATTTGTTGTCAGTTTTCAAAGTAAACTTCTTAATCATATACTCCCCATGCGTCTATGTGCATGCCCCTGCTGGGGTTCTGCATGTGGTGGAGCATAGGTCGGACCCCTCCAGCCATCTAGACCAGGAGGCCTGTCCCTTGTAAAGAATTGTCTGACACAGGTTGGAACAGCCTAGCTCTGGGATGTTGAGCTGCAACTTTATGGTTCAGCAGTAAATACACATCGAACAATCCAGAACCTTCTCTAACCTTCTCCTGGAGAAGAACATGAAGGACACTCGGACTGAGAGTGGTTCCCCTGAGGGGAGCAGGAGCCAGGGCAGGACAGACGTGCAAAGAACCCTCAGCTTGCTCTGCCCTTGTTTTACAAAGCGTGTGCTGATGATACCTCTTTGGTGTAACTGGAAATTTCTTTGACAATAAGTATAAATAAGCACATTGCTCTGTAATTTCAAGGGGAACAGAACAGAGTGCTCAGTGTGTTTCAGACTACTGCATAGCAATGTTTGACTTGGTTCAGTTTTAGAGTCTAGATTTGTTCTTGTTCTTGAACCCTATTCGGTGATAATTTATTTTCCTTTTCTGATGCTCTGTGGCCAACCTCAGCATCTTGTCTTCTCTAATGTGTCTTTGTTTTTAATTTATTATTACATGCTCTCCTAGTGGCCTAGTCCCTGCTCCTCTTGAACAGCCGGAAGTGGGCTGTGGGCATCGTGTGACTTTCTTCACCCTACTGCACGCTGCCCCCAGTGCTGGCTTCCTGCGCTCTCTGTGCCCTGCTGCCCAGCCCTGTTGTCCTTCGAGATTGGTAGATGATAATTGGGTTCTGAACTGTCATCCGTGGTGTGGCCATAGCTATGGGTCGATGTGTTGAACTGCAAAATCAGTTTGAACCTCAAGATTGGTAGTTCAAGCTCACAAGACACTCCTAGGAAACCCTATTCAGGGTCGCTATGGGTCTGAACCGATTCAACGGCACCTAACAACAACAAAGCGAGTTCTGGTGTGGCACTGCAGGTTAATGTGCTGGACTCTGCAAGGTTGGTTTGAACAGCAAGGTCAGCAGTTCAAGCTCACCAGCTGCTCCTCGGAAACCCTATACAGGGTCACTATGAGTCAGAATTGATTTGACGGCGCTTTAACAAAAGCAATGTTAGGACTCCTGGTGTGGTGCTGTAGGATCAACACTGGGTTGTAAACCACGGGGTCAGCAGTTCAAACACAGCGGCTGCTCCTCGGAAACCCTATAAAAGGTTGCGATGAGTCGGAATCAACTCGACAGCGCATAACAACAAGCAATGTTAGGAGTCCTGGTGTGGCACTGCAGGATAATGCACTGGGCCACCAGCTCGGTTTGAACTGTAACGTCGGCAGTTCAAACCCATTAGCCGCTCTCAGAAACACTACACAGGGCACTATGGGTTGGAATCAACTTGATGGCACTTAACAACAGTAAATATCGTCAAGTTCATCTTTGCTCACGATTTGTAAATGATATTCCTAGTGTTACTTCATAGACTTTTAAACCAATGTGAAGCAGTGATTGTCAGCATACAATTCATACTCCCACTTTCTCCAGCTCATCCCTCAAATATGAGTTCCCCCATATATCAGTGTAAGTGGTCACTTCAGAAAGGTGTCTGTCCTGTGTTCTCTGGGATACGGGGGCTGTCACGTGAGGGCCACGCCTTGAAAAGGAATTACCTTAAATGACACACAGATTTTATGGCTTTTGATAGGCCATGTGACTTCTTTTTTTTTTTCCCCCCCAGATCTTAAAATGCTCTTTTTTTATTATTTATTTAAGGTTTTTATTGTGCATTGAGTGAAAGCTTACAGGGCCTGTCATCAGTTTCACATTCAACAGATCATACACCTTGTTTCATTACAATGATTTTAATCCCCTCCATGTACCAGTATTTCTCTGTATTCACTTTAGCTTTTTTTAAAAAAAAAAAAACAACAACACTGAGACATATACAATAATTTACACCTCTAAAGGACACATTCTCCAAGTCAGCCTCCTGGCCACCAGCTCTTAATCCCGCTCTTCCCTTGAATCTAGAGTCCTCAGCTGCTCCCCCTCTCCATGACCCCATCTCTGCCTCCATCTCTGCTGTCGCAGCTTCTCTGGATAAGGTCCTGCAGTCTGCTTGTGCTCTTCTCCCTTGATGGTCCTAGGGTCCTCTGTGTCTGGACTGTAAGATTAACCACTCCCCTGTTTTTGTTACAGAATTTCTACCTTTACAGTTATGGTTATGACAGTCGCGATTAGTCACAATGACAGTTATTCACTATTGAATCATACAAATGTTATCCCTACCTCTTTTCACCAGACCCATCTAGACAAGATGAAAAATTTTCAGTGGGGACTCTTTCTCCCCTCCACACACTATTAAACTAAACTCCCTCTTGAAACCTTGTAGGCCAGTCACTTCGTGCCTTTATTGCCCCCTCATTTTAGGTGGCCAATGTCTAAGTTGCCCGTCCCTGTCTACCCTGTGTACAGAGAGGATAGCATTGATACTTGATGTGAAGATTCCTTCCTTCTCTGTTGGTATCAGTGTTGCTACCTCCATGAGTATAGGTCAGGTTCATCAAATTGTAGCAATTTACCCGTTTCCTTTATAAAAAAAAAATTTTTTTTTGTAATCTTCCTCTAGTCGAGTTCTGATTATAAAGTCATTGAGGCTAGGTCAGATGGGTACTGTCTGCAACTTTGGGTGTTCTTGTGAATCTCCCTCACTTCAGATTAGCTGGTTGCTTCACTCTCAGCTCTAGCCCTCTGGCTATGTCCTTGTCCATGGGCTCAAGTGTCCCTAGGTCTCACCACACTTTGGACCAACCAGCCCTTCTTCTCTCTCTCATCTCCAGGTCAATAGGAGTCAATGGATGGGGGTTGAACTCAGCCCATTTCTTCATTACTGCCTTTCCCCCTCTTCTACTCACCAGTAGACCATGTGCTTACCAGCAAAACTTCCCTTTGAGTTTCAGTCTTAGAGGGGAGTTTGTCCTGAAGGAACTTGATTTCTTGCCATGATGGCTTCCTGGCGAACAGCTTGCTTATTCTTGTAGAAGCCAATCATGCTGACGTTTTTGTTTTGGGTTTTTCCTGATGATCTTTCTTTGAAGATGTATCTTCTGTTGCTCTAGCTGTTCCAGTCTGGTCTGCTTGTCCTTGTTTGCGGGAATGTTCCACATCATAAGGTTCTTGATGGGACTCAGGATTCCCCCTAAGGTCCTATACACTGCAAAGATTCTGCAAGAGGCCTATTTCACTGGGCAAGTTCTAGAACCCCGTTTAGGTATTCCAATTAGTCATTGGCTGAAGACGGGCTTACAAATTTTCTGTAATCATGTTTCCCAGCATTCCTTTCTATCTCACTCAAGTGTCTATTTTACAGTAGTAGGCAAGGGAAACCAATGTTCATAAAACAGTCAAGCATTTTAGTATTATTTCCCCTCTTCAAATTATACGTAGATCCCTGTATCCCAGATCTCTGTTGTTCCAAGTTGAGCATGCATCACTATTTCCCTCTGTCCCACTAGGCCATTCAAACCTGTCTCAGTGTTCCCCTATCTATCTTGTTCCTCCGCCTCCTCCCACTTCTTGTATTGCCCTCCCCCACACCCAAACTAAACCCCCCCACCCCAACCCCACTGTTGTTACCTTATATTCCATGAACTCTTCCCTCCATTTAAGACAGTCTATTTTATCCAGTAATCTACCTGACCCTTCCCACCACCTGGATCTCTGTTCATTTGTGTTTACCTTCTTTCACATTGTAATTGTTTTGATCATAGACGGACCTCCCAGATCCTCTGTTCTTATAATTTTATTCTGTTCTTGACTCTTCCATTTGTCGATTGAGTTCAGGGTGATGCTGCCACATATGTCATTCTCTGGTTGTTGTCAGTTCTTTTTGGTTCTCAGTCCTCAGAACTTCCTTTAGGACGTTTTTCATAGCAGGGTTGGCTTTGGCAAAATCCCTTAGCTTCTGTTTATCCTGGAATGTTTTGATTACACCATCGTATTTGATTGACACCTTTGCTGGGTATTGGATTCTTGGTTGGCAGTTTTTTTTTTTCTTTCAGGGTTTCATATATGTCTCCCCATTGCCTTCTTGCCTGCATGGTTTCTGCTGAGAGATATGAGCTTAATCTGATTTGCTTGCCTTTGTGTGTTACACTTCTCTTTTCCTAGCTGCTTTCAGGATTCTGTCCTTAACTTTGAATTTGGAGAGCATGATTATTACATGTCTTGGTGATTTTATTTTAGGGTCTGTCTTTCCTGGGGTTCATTGAGCTTCTTGAATACTTATCTTTTCACTTTTCAGGATGTTAGGAAAATTTTCTTTCAACAGCTCTTCAGCTATCTCCTCTGTGGATTTGTGTGATTCTTCCTGTTCCAGAATGCTGATAATTCTTAAGTTATTCCTCTTCATGTTGTCCAACATTAATCTTAGGCCTTCTTCAGATTTTTTTTTTTTTTTATCCTTTTTTGTGTATGTTCTTCTATCTTAGTAGTATTGAGAGATTTATCTTCTAGCTCACTAGTTCTGGCTTCTATCTCTTCAATTTTACTCCTTTGCCCTTTCAGTGTATAGTCATCAGTTCCTGTTTTTTGGTCATATTCAGGAGTTATCTGTGGCCTTAATACGTACATAGATGTGTATTTTGGTAGTTTTTATGCTTTCTGATTGCCTCCGGGTGGATGTGATCAGGAAATGGGCTTCCCTTTTCACTCTTCTTCCTGAGAAATTTCAAGATGCCACTGTTGATCATTATGACGTAACTCAGGAATTAATTTTCGGCCTGTTTCCTTTTTAGTTTCCCTGTCCTGCTCCACATTCCCCGTTCAGGCCTTTTTCCTAGTGATAAACAGTTTAGGGTCAGTTGTGGCCGTTTTGCACTGCTGTTTGGTTTTAAGTGGAAACTATCATTTTAAATTTAGAGATCTGTGCGCATGCGTAGTAGAACCCTCTGGGGGTGGGGATGGGGTGTCCACTCGCTCAGACACCCCATCTAGTCACCAGAATGAAGGTGCGCAGACAGCGAGAGACCAATGAAGAGATAACCAAAAAAAGAGAGAATGTCCCCACCTTTATCTCCGCGGTTCTTTCAGGTGTCCGTGGCTGCTCTGATCCTTCCCCGACTTTGTCTTGCCCAAGATGGTGGCTCTGAGAGCAGCTGAGTGTCTTGAATTAGAAAGCAATGGATTTCTTGTTTCTGCTACAAATTCCCACAGCTGTAAGCATCCCACCTTTGTAAATATTCCTTTATATGTGGTTCAGAGTTCTGGAACCATCCATCCCCTGAGCCTGCTTGATCCAGTATTCTGTGTTGTTGCTGACAGAGCTCCTCACTGCACTTCCACCCCATCCGCCATTTTGTGTGTTCTCCCTGCTCTTTGACTTCTTGATGCTGTAGTTTAGGACTGATTTTCTCCAAAAAGATAAAGTTCTGCTCAATTTTCCTGAATTTGTATCTGAAGAAGTCTAAGACACAGCCTGCGATGGCCCTACTAAGGGATGGCAGGCAATGTGGAGTCTGCGTCTTGCTGCCCTGAACCAGCTTGAGCCCACAGAGGCGCTGTTTTCAGATCGTTTTCTCATGAAAGTCACCCAAAAAGAGTCCCACCTTTTAAATAACTCACATGTAGTACTATCGACTTTTATTTGTTCATCATTCCATTTTTAAGTGTCTAGTTTTCTATAGAACACCACAGGGTACAACTGTCCTATAGCATTACCTGGGCTGTAAATATTAATGGAAACAGACTGCCCAGGCCTTTCAGTTAGCACTGAGTCAGTTCTGACTCGTGATGACCACCAATCTTGTGGTTCAAACTGACTTTTCGCTCCTGTGCTGATTCTACAGTGCCACACCACCCCTAAGTCCCATAAGCATTGCTGTCTGCTTTTTTATGATTCCTATCCTGTACCCCCAAAATAAATGCCACCAGATCGAGTTAAAGCTGCTGCCAGAATTGAACTTTAACAAAAATGTCCATATGTCTCTTTACCAACAGAAAACTTGGAATATAATGTGGAGCCTCAGGAAATCTCACACCCTGATGTCGGACGCTATTTCTCAGAGTTTACCGGCACGCACTACATCCCGAATGCAGAGCTAGAGATTCGGTATCCAGAAGACCTGGAGTTTGTCTATGAGACGGTGCAGAATATTTACATTGCAAAGAAAGAGAACGTCGAGTAAAGTCACGTAGAGGGCATTGCACCTTTGCGGCTGCGGCTGCGCTGCCACCCTCCGAGAGAACAGGATTCCGGAAGAAGATGGTGCCATGGAGTCCTCTGCTCTCACGCCACCATTAGTGCCGGCTGCCTCCTCCTGAGTTAAGACAGTGCTGCCCTCTGTCTCCACTAGGGAGTCATCTCGACAGTGGCATGGCTTGAGTGCTTATCCCGTGGAGACAGCTGCAACCTTCTGTCTTCATGAGGTCCCACAAGCAACCTGCTTGTATCCATTCTTTCTCGTCTTGCCATTCTTAACGTCTGTCTACACCTGTCTTAGGTCACCTCTTAGGAAGGACAGCTGGCTCTACATTGTTCCTGTTTAGTTCTGATTTCTCTCGGGGTCAGGTGCAGTCCCAAGTCAACTCAACGTTCCGAGGCAAAATTGGCAGCGATCATGCCAGCATCTTGGAGTTGGAGACCTTAGCAAGCTCAGTGATCATTAGAATGATTTGAATTTATTTTTTCTAAATCTGAAATGCTGATTCTGGTATTTATCCAGTTCTTTATTTGAGTTCAGAGAATGAATTGCTCCCTCCATATCCCTTTCTTGATTGATTTATGCCTGTGTCGCTACTGATGATTTGCTTTCCATTCTGTGACATCACATCCTTTGAGAAAACGCATAGTAATGCTCTTGTGAGTGGGGCTCTCCAGATTCACTCAGTGTCTGTGTCTTTTTAAGATGACATTTTGTTGTTTAAAACTCAACTCCATATCCCAAGTAGGTCTTAAATCAGTGACTGGTCCTGTTTGTAGCAAGAGAAGTTCACATTGGATGCTTGAGGTCTTAGCAGTACTCCATGGGAAGGAAGAGTGTTAGATCAACAGGAAGGGAGGTGTGGGTGTCGTCTGCACTCGGTCCCCAGTGCCATGGCGGCAGCAGGACCAAGAGAGTCTCAGAGTCTCCCGGACAGTGTGGCTTTGTGTTGAGAGACCAGTGGCTTCTTGCTGATGTCCGTCGTAGCAAATGTGAATGTACCAAGTCTTGGTGCTGTGTTGGGACACCTTCCCCTCTTGCTGGCCAGTGGCCCAGTGCTCAGGCCAGTTCACATTGTGGTTCACCCGTGGACACTAACCTCAGAGTGAGGACCTTCTAGTGAAAGAGGCTCGAGGAGCCAGGCCCCGGCCATGCCCCCTGCCTGTCTGCCCATTTGCATGTGGTATTTTCACAACATGTTTGACAACCGCTTCTTGTTGACCCTTTGGAAGCCCTGCATGATGGGGCCTGGGGAAGCCACTAGCAAGTGAAGACCCCGGCAGCTCTGTTAGATGAGGGATTGGTCTGCCAGCTCCTTCTTGCCTGAATAAGCTGTTGTCTGACTGTCCTTGTTTACTCCTGCATCAGATCCCAAGTCCAGTTCTTTGGACTTGAGTTTGAAAACATGACCACTCACATACCCAGCCTGCCTGCAGTTATGGGGGGATCTTACACTACTATCATTTAAAGGTAACAGGTAGTGTGGTGGTAACATTAATGAGATACAATTATTACTAAGAAACTGGCGCATGCTGAGAGTCAATACTGGTTGGTTTCCTGGTTCGATTTCCTTTTTTCATAGAGAAACATCGACTCCAAGAAAGATGACTTTACCCTCACTGACCCTACTGTAAATATGGATCTAGACTATTTTTAAATGTGTCTCTCCATGAATGCTTCGTTTGGCTCCAGGAAGCCTGTCACTTGTGTACGTTGGTATTTGGGCACTTTATATTTTTCTAAAAATGTGTTTTGGATCCTGTACTCTAATAAATCATAAGTTTCTTTCTACAATTTTTCCAAATGTTTTCTCTACCTTAAAAAGCAAAGCAAAACCCTGTTATAAAAGTAGAACTCTCACGTTGTTAAAATATTTGGATATATTAACTTCTTTTCAGGTGAATGCCAGGGGTTTTTGTATAATGATTAATGCATGGGACTTATCCAGAGAAACCACTCACATGGCCAGAGTGGTCTCTTACCTCTCTTCTGCTCCAAACAGGCCACATCTGGCTCTCCTGTGTTTTCCTTCACTTTGATCAGTGAACAGGTTCCCTATGAAGTAAGAGTGCCCTGCCGTGCTTTCATGTTAGCAGCCTGCTAGTCTCATTGGAGAGTAGATGGCTGGGATGCTAAGGTGGTGGAGGGGTGTGGTCAAAGGAGAGCTGGAAATGCTTGGAAGGAAGACCAGCTTTGTAGTGGGTTTCAGTGCCCTGTAGTGGCACGGCTCTCAAGTTCCATGTGGGAATGAAGTCGGAGGCCAGAAACATTTGGGAGATTCTGAGCTCAGCAAAAGTCAAAGTATTTCCTGTGCTGCACTGTTAGTGTGCATTGCGACTCCCAAGACAAAAGACCCTAAATAGACCCTAGAGCTCCTCCCTTCCAACACAACACGCTGGGGAGCCGCTGGTCTCAAGCAGTCTTAGGAAATGCCCACACTTAGGTGAGACATCATTTACGGCCAAAACTAGGACACCTTTACCAGACCCGTTTTGTCCACTGGAAACTGCCATTCATTTGAGTAGATGGTTTTCTGTTGTGTCCCCTGAGCCTGGTGATGGATCTCCGTGATAAGTGCATTTCAACAACTTCCCTGTTTTCTTGAGAAAACCAGCATTGAAGCCTGCTGAATGAGCGCTGCGTTCCATTCTATTGCTTCTACTTCAAAATGTTTCCATCCATGTCTCCAGGTTTGCTATTGCTGCCTTCCTGGGTCTCTTTGGAGTTCTGGTGTGGTGCTGTAGGATAAGCACTGGACTGCTAACCACAAGGTCAGCAGTTCAAACTCACCAGTCTCTCCTCAGAAACCCTATACAGGGTCGCTGTGAGTCAGAACTGACTGGACAGCACTTAACCAACATCAACAACAGGTCCCTTCCTTTTCCTTTGCCCGTATTCTAAGTAAGTGAAATCGGACCGTCAGCAACTTTCAATTTAAGTGTTGTGTGGTCATAATAGTTTTTGATGTTTGTTTTTAGCAGGAAGAAGAAAATGCCCACGTAGACAGAATGCAGAATTTTACCTCTGTGACTGTTGGTTGCTATGAATAGCTAATGTATAGCTAATGTGTATAGAGTGCTTGCTTTGAGCTAGGTATTGGCCTGAATGGTTTACAATACAGCAACCCCACTAAGCAGGAGCAGATCCTAAACAGTGAGGCTTGCTTTGCTGACCCACAGTAGAGTCTCTGACATAGTCCTTGTTTTTTTAAAAAATTAGAAAAGCATTCTGAGCTTGAGCATTGTGCTGAAACATGGTTAGCCAGAATTGCTCTATAAGCCATACTTTGCTGACTCTGTTAATACTGCTTGTTAAGTACTGTTGAGTTGGTTCCAACTACTAGCAATCCTCTATAGGGTTTCCAAGGAGCGGCTGGTGAGCTTGAACCGCTGACCTTGCAATCCAGTGCATTAATCTACATCGTCATATTGTCCCACTATATAGATGAGGAAATCAAGGCCCCACTGTTTGTAAATGGGAAATCCAGATTTGAACCCAGATAGCATCTTGGTTTAGGCATTGTGTTGCTAACCACAAAGTCAAGGTCAGCCTTGCAAACCCAGCAGTCACTGAAGGAGGAAAATGCTCTGCTCTCATGAAGCGTACGGCCTTTGGGACCCTGTGGAGCAGTTCTGCTCTGTCCTGTAGACTAGAATCAACTGGGCTAGCTGCAGATCTGATTTGGCCTGACCTCCAGCAGTCAGCCACCAAGTACTGACAGCCACCTACCCTAGTCTCTGTCTTGAGAGTAAGGGGCATTCCTTCAGTGAATAAAAATCTGTGCACTTACAGAATAAATATACACTGACCATTTGGCATTGTAATAGTGTAACGCTGGTTTTCTGATAGCATAGTGGTTACGAATCTGCCTACGAACTGCAAGGTCAGCAGTTTGAAACTACCAGCCGTTCCACGGATGATGAGGTTTACTGCTCCCATAAAGATTTACAGCCTCGGAAACCCTGTACAGGGTCACTAAGAGTCAGAACCCACTCCACGGTACATAACAACAACATACCCCAAAATACATGACAGCTTAAACAGCTTTCTTGCTCACAGCACTGGGTGGAGGAAAAGGTTGGTCCACAGCCCTCTTGCCGGGAGGTGGGCTCATTGAAGCTCTACTGTCCCCCTGTATGTGGCTTCCAAGACCACCCTGGGGCTTTCTCCCATCCACCCACCAGAAAAGGAGGAGGGGCACATGCGAGAGGTTCTGTAGGTCAGATCCTGGAAGCAGCACTCATTCTGCAAGGGGTGCTGGGAAATGTAGTTTTGTGTCCCAGTGAAGAGGAAGCAGTTTGCCTGGGGCAGCTGGTCCGCTGTGGGTGGGTGCTTCCTGACGACCGCTGGACATCCCACCCCTCCTGAGGGAGCTAGCCAGTGCCCAATGGGAGTTGTTGAGTGCTGTTGAGTCGGTTCTGACTCATAGCAACTCTATAGGATTTCCAAGGAGTGGCTGGTGAGTTTGAACCAGCGAGCTTGTGATTCAAACCAACCTTGTGTCCGGTGCTCATCCTACAACATCACACCAGGACTCAAGTCTCAGTTGTTGATGTTGTTCGGTGCCGACCCATAGCGACCTTACGCACAGCAGAACGAATCACTGCCCGATCCTGGGCCAACCTCACTAGTGTTGCCACGCATAAGTCCATCTCAGTGGACTACCTAAAATGCTCTGGTCACACTACAATGTGCCTGGCAGTGGGGGAGTTTCCAAAATAAAGGGCAGGGGAAAGTGGAAGATCACAGCGAGAGTCCTTCACTTCTCGACTTCTGCCACGGTAGCCAGTCCTCAAGACCTGGACCCAGAAGCCAACCCTAAAAGATGTGGTAAGCTGTCTCCCTGTGGGGCTGAGGGGAAGTGGAGGCCCTGGGTGGGCAGCGCCCTCACTGTGCCTGACTCTGGTCAATTGCAGGCTAGGCAGCCACCCAGCCAGGTGCAGTTCATGGGACTAGCAACCAATGAACCCAAAGCCCCCCACCATCACCCCAGCCCCAATGTCTGTCCAACCATGCAGGACTCTTGGGGAGAAGGAAGGAGATGCATGAGCTGATCACTGCTGGGTGGGTGTTGGTAATGCCCCCAGCACTGGAGTGGGGAGTGCTTCCTGACTGCTGCTGCTC